TTCATTTCTACAGACTTTACAACACTGAAATACTGTAATAAACAAAATTTTTACTTAATACGAGGAATTGACTGGTCCTACCCAAGCAAAATACAGACTAGTCAATGGATTTCTTTTTAAAGTTTAGATGGTGCTTTGACTGAAAGAAGTGTGAAAAGGGATATTGGTGTATTGCTCCCAGCTACAGAAGTTTACCACACTTACAAGTGGCAAATTTCTTGTAGTCATGGAATGATGAGACAGTTGTAGCTGCTGGAGAGACATTTTAAGAGAATGCAGTGAGGGGAAATGGGGGTGTGGTAGGAAAGCTGCCTTTACAGTACTCTATGTCAAGAGTCAAGTCAAGTATATAGAAATATATAACTCTGTCTGTATTCTCCTGGGGTTTTTTGTGCCAAGCACAGCTTGGGCAAATTCTAAGACAGGTTGATACAACATGAGTCTATGCTGAGTTTCCAAGTGATAGTTTAGAAAAAAAATTAAAAGAGCTGGAAATGTCTAGCATAAGAAGGGTAAGGGGAATATGTGTTTGAGTTAACAATGGCCTATGTCTGAGCAGTGGTGAAAACACCCTAAGAGATCAGTGTCTATCAAAACATGATCTACTGAGACAATAGTGTTTCAGAGGGATGACAGGTCTAGTTCTTACTGAGAAACTTGACTAAAAAAAAATTAAAATTGAAGCAAATACAGTAACACTTAAGCTCAAGTGAGAAACAAAATAATGGTGCATTTTTCTATAGGCTCCACTTAGATAAATAAATATGCCCTCTGAAACAGTGTTGAAGAACAGCTGCCTCAGAACTTCACATTAGTTCCAGCCCTAGAAATTTTCAGCTGTCAGTGCCTAAGGGTAACTTTTCCATGCAGCTAGGTTTACAATGAAACAAACATCAGATCCTGTTTCCAGGGTTACAATTATCAGGAAAATAAATAGCATTTTTAAAACTTATCTGCTAAACACACCGGTGGCAAAACCACAATTGCTTACGATAATAACGAACCAAATACAGGTGTGTCTGCATGCAGCCAGTCATTTCTGGAAAAAAGTACATTCAGGAGGTGGAGTGGAAATGAAGCAGAATGATTGGAGAAGCCAAACACACTCCCAGGAATGTGACTTGAAAGCGAGCAAAGGGGAGCTGCCACGCCCCCTTCCTGCAATGGGAATTATTTACTATCTGAATATTTCCTCTCTCCTGCCCTCCCCACAACAATTAATCTCTGTTTTCTTCTTTAGTATCTTTCTCTACATGTAATTTGGGTCAATCAAGTCTCTCATGTTTTAATATTAAGTATATTAGAAGTTTCATACATAGGGGACAGCTTTGCAGAGGTATAACTCATGCTCACATTAGTAGAGAGTTCAATCCTCTTACCATTTCAACCACAGCTTTTTCAGCAACTTCAATGAGAACAAAATGGAGATCCTGGGAACACTGCTTTTTCAGTGCATAAAAAAATGTTTTGCTTCAAATTTTTTTTAAACAAAATAGCATCATTATAGAGCTGAAAATATGATTCCGTTCTTTAAGAAAAACAGACTAACCATGATACTGATCAAGTTCAGACATACTTCCTCCTCCTTCCCCAGGAAAATTTCATTTCTTTATCTGGAATCTGCTATACTATGTTTAAATTATAGAGGAACCACAGAGTGTCTAGAATACAGTTTGCTGAACTCAAACACCAATGGGTTCTTGTATCAAGCTAAAATTACATTTTTCACATTTACTTCTCCAAGATTATGGAAAAAACCCAATGTTTTATAATAGCAACTTCTGTTGAGACCCATGAATGACTACATGCAGAAAGTGGCAAAATCTCCTTGAAGAGTTTGTGATAAGATTCCTAAACCTTTTAAATACTCCTCAGAGAGAGTAAGATTATCCAGATAACTTCAGTATGATATTCCTAAATATTAGTTCTTTTCTAAATCAAACCTGAGCTTCACATCATCATTTAAAGTACACTGAAATTTTAAATTATGCCAGATGCAAAATGATGGGGAAGTTTTGATTTCTAGTGCAGTGTTATTTCTGTGTCACTAGAGACATCAGTACAGCCTTTATAATAGATAACAACTAAAAAACGATTAACCAACAAGAAGCAAATGGCAACATTCTCTACTTATTACATGACTTGACTGTGGTCTTACTTTGAGGTGATAATACAAACATGCATGGTATTAATAATAAAATGGTTTAACAGCGTAACTCCTTTTTTTACCACCCCCTCAGTTAACTCATGTCCATATAGTAAAAGGACTAACCTAAAGAAACAGTTGCCTCGTGTTTTTTTTTTCAAAAGGACCGTTGATTTTGGGTGCCCTATAACTGAAGATAAAATGGAAACACTCAGCGCATCCACACATGCCCTAGTAAATGTAATTTCTCATGATGTAGCATCTTCTAGAGTAACTTCATTCAGATAAAATGTAGTATTAGTGACAAAAATTCTGACCTCTGATTGAAGGTAAACACTGATTTTGGTTTATGACAATGGTTCTGCAAGGTGCAAGTTAAGAGGGAAGACCAGCAGCATTTAAATTGGATGTAAACTTGAGAGTCAATCCTGTTAATCAGTTTTCTGCTTCTTAAAAAGTTTGCTACACTCTGACACAGCTCAATCAAATTACATGTTCCTCTACCTTCCCTTTCTTCCACTAATATTGGCCCAGTAATACCTACATAAAGGCTTGTAATAGAATAGCTTCTTCCATCATATGAACTGAAACAAATAGGTATAAAGCACAAACACTGTATATATGGGTGTATAATGGTAATGCTGAAAACAAGCAAAAGTGAAAAAACATCCAAGAAGCGTACTGGTAAGATATTTTTACAAGTAGCTTAGTCCTTATCAGCAAATAACAGGATTAAAATCTCTTTTCTAGCTGTAGTCAATAGACAACACTGTTCTTTATCTAACCTAAGCACAGGAAAAACTTCACAGAAGTTAAGAAATTAATAGTTGACTTCAAATAAGAGTAAACTGCATTTGCAATGTTCAGAGGAATTAAATTTTACATTTAATGCAAACTAATTCATCCGACTCACATTACCATTGGCAAATTAATGTATAAAGGTTTTGCTTTCAAGATGGTAAGTTAATTCCTTTATACTATGAAGGAAAATCATCCCTCATAAGAAAGGGGACTGTACACTTAATAAAATCTATTCTGTTAAAAAATAGCACTAAAACATGCTTGCTACAACATGTGTATCTCTTTCAAGGAGAAAATCTTCTCACATTGCAGAGCTGATTTTCCATCCTTCTGAGCAGACTGATAGTTTATCCAATTTATTTTGTCCTATTCTGGGCTTCATATCTGTTTTCATCCTTACACCTCAGTATTGCTGGAATGAGAACAGCTGTGAATGGGCATGTTCCTCGCATCATGTTCTTTGGGGTACATGGGGTCTGATAACAGCCTAAATAAGTCTGCTCTGGTTCTGCAGCAAGGAAATATGACAATTTCATAAATCTTCTGTCAGTACTTAGCATTTTATTTTCAGCAACATTTGCCATCATCTGTCTGAATTCCATCTTCTTCATTCCACAACAATGTGTTAAAAGGGAATTCAAGCTGTAGCTTAAGTTACATTAGGTATTTGCATTTTTCTTTCCAATATATGACTTCCAATTTTATGCAGAAGTTAAATTGTGTTACCACTTCTGGAATCACAACTCACGCAGTAAAAACCAAATAGTACCTTACCTGCTGTTCTTTTCCTGTTCCAGGCTCTAGCTTGCTATACTCCAAAGAAGGTTACATTTCAGAAGAAGGCAAAGATTATTTTAAGCTGCCTTAATTTTCCTTCAGGTTTAAACACCCAAGCAGAAGTAATTTGTGTTTTGAACTACATTTCCAAGTTGCATACAGGCTGTTTTGTACCTTAAGAAAGCACTGAGCCAATAACTATTTACCCTCTGGTCCCATATCCAACATAAGAATTCCTATAAAGCTGTACATGGTAATGGAAATTTCTAGAATATTTGAACAACTTACGTCTTCGTATGTTAATATAACAGCAAAGGAACAGATAAACTGCACTCTACCATTTTATTTTGACCCCTGCAAAGCAATTTTCTGATAGAAATTTCTATTAAAAAATTCAATTCCTATCTAGAAAGAAAATAGGGAATATGACCTGCAGGATCACAAGGAAAAAAATCACAGTTAAAAATAAGTTGAAACAAAATGACAAACAAACGTTGTAGTTTCTCTAGGTTGTAACTGACTGAGCCACTAGTGTGTTTATTTAGGATGCACTCTAGTGGACACACATATAACAAAAGATACAAATATTATTAAAACATAGAAAATGAAAGCCACATATTGGAAGTAGTAGTTAGAATTATTTACTATTTTGTTTTAAAATATTGTCTTGTAATTTGAATGTATTTCCTAATTAAATCCTAGACCAAACAGTACTAGGAAAAGCATCTTTTAGTACATCTGTCTGCTGAGTCACATAGAGTTCAATTTATCTCTTCCAGATAAATTGGTAAATCTCCTGATTGAATTTTTTTATCTCTAGCTTGATGTGTAGAACTCTCCATTTCTAATCTATAAAGCATTACCTGTTTCTACCAGAACCCATTCAAATTATATGTAAATCCTTTTTCAATGACTTTTTTTCTTTTAATATTTATTCAAATTATCATATCAGAGCCTCTACTCCAAAATAATCTTGACACATTAATTATGTCTATAATTATCATTGTTACCCTTCAAGAATCAAAGGGCAATAGGTAGAAAATATATTTACTGCTTTCAATTACAGTTTTCTTCCTGAGTGTGCTGTGCTTGCTACAACGGTTTAAGAACAAAAAGGAAGCATCACATGCCAGAATTAACAGACTTTATGCAAACAGTCAGAAAGTACAGAAACTGAAACAACAGGCATGTAAATCACTTCTGTATATAAACATACATAAATGAAGACATTACACTTCTGGATCAGCAAGTAACGAGTAGAAAATATTTACTGCTTTCAGATCGGTTGGGAATTTTCTTCTTCTGACTCTGCTGGGACGTCTGTTATACTCTAAAAACAAACAACAAAAAAGAAATTCTATCAGTCGACAGCATTAACTGAACTTTGTAAAAAGAAAATAAGAGGAAAAAATAAAAACCCACATGACATACAAGTTGGTATTTATCAATATAATTACGTATTCTTCCATTCAGTGGCATATGATGAAGTTTATCACCAGACTTCTATTATAAAATCAAGTGAGTCTGGATGAAGCATTATGATTCTGAGAACAGAATAGCTTTAACAGTACAAGCCTATAGGTTTCAATTTTGTTGACCTGTTCTTAATGTGTAGTTTAACTCAAGAAACATATTACTATAAACCTGAAATATCACCAAAGGCAAATGTAATCCAGCTTCAAATGACTTGTGGCATAAACACTTGGAAAACGGCACCATACAAGGAGAAGCAGGTAAGTTTACTACTCCTTTTCACTTCTGGTGAAGTGAAATTCATTTATTTAAGAACACATAAAACATGCCTGAAGATTCAAGACTACTTTTGAATATGTAATTATCAGAAAACTATAAAAAGTGGGGCTACACAAGACCTTGAGAACTCATCTGATTTATCTTAGTGAAAAAAGCACCTATGAAAACCCTACTGTAAGGATAGTCCTAAGTATGTTCTCAGTTATAGTTTGAAAACACTAATAAAACAAGCTGTTATTAAAGTAACCTTAAACATAAAGCATATTGATATCACAATAAAAATTCTGAGCTAGAAATACACTACTGATACCAGAAGTCAACTGTGCAAATTATTAAGGTTAATAAAGGAAAAATGGTTCTGATATTGATGTACTAAAATTAGTACATAAAAATCTGAAGTCATGGCTTCTAATTTCCCTGGACTGTCAAGTACAAAAGGAATACAAAAACAGTAACAAGCAAACAAAAAAAAAGCTGGGCATAGAAGATGTCTGAGGATCACAATATAGAGCTCTCGTTGCAGTACTTAAAGCAGTACATTTATGTTGGCACAGGACTCAGAAAACCTCATTCTCAGCAGGTCCCAGTTTTAGTGAGCACTGTGTGTCCATATTATCTGGTCTGGTCTTTTATATTAAATGTTTGCTCAGATATCTCTGCATAAGAGTGCAATATGCTGCACAAAAAATATACTTCACACCAACTAGAAAAAAAAACAAATCACCCAAAATGAGTCATCTTTTGTGATTTAGCACATGATGTATACGACTGGCAAAGGAATGCTGCCTTCTCTTTGAGAATACTCACTTTTGTTTGAAACATACCTGAATGCAAAAGGATATATTTAATCTTGAGAATTTTGTCAGTCAGCACCACACAGTCTTTTAGAATGGCTTACCTTGTACCAGAGAACTAGCTAGAAAAATCTGGAGATTGTCACCGAAATACTGTCCCTTAAAACCATAGGAGAGAGACAGCACACTCTTAATGGCAACAGTTTAAACCTTCGATATGCCAGCACAGAAAAGCAAATCTGTAAGAATCAATCATTTATAATCTCCTTGTTCTTTCTAAACACTTACCTGAACCTGACTACTCTCATCTACCTCCTCAACTTTGGTCAAATCAGGCACTTCAGGTGTATCTGTAAGTTCAGCTATCATATTTTCATTTTCCTGTGGTAGTGAAAACCAATCTTCATTAAAAGCATTCCCATAATTATCTATAGAGAATACCTCAGACATGTTAGAATGACATTATGTATTAATATAAAGGTAACACTTTTGATGTGTGCTATATAAATGTGCTGGTATGTGAACATGGTGGTCATATGCTTGTTAAGATATTTTTTATTAGTTTTTTTTTAATTAAGGAATTTTGGTTTAAATTTCTACATATCCATTTTTCTTGTCACTTTCATACTGTCATCTTTCCACAGTTATGTTCAGTCAGTATTTTAACTGAGTACTCTAAAAACGTATCTAAAATACTACGTGCTCCACATAAACTTAAGAGATACATTTAAAAGCTTTATTGAGATAAACATGTCAATTATCAGTGTATGGTTTTATTGAAATAGCAATAAAAGACCATACATTTACACAGACATCTGTATTAGCATTCTTCAGTTACTACAAATTCCTGTGCACCGGGAGAATTTCAGAATCAGGAGGCATCCCAATTCCAAAAAAACAGTTTCTTTCCAGTACAGTTAATGGACTTTGTGCTGACTCATAGTAAAACATTACTGTCTAGACACTTAAATTAGACATGCTTGAGTTATAATACTTTCCCATAAACACTGTCAAGGAATGTGAATGTATCCATGATGCTAACCTTATGGCCAAATTTTGCAATAAAGTTGTGTTCTGTTCTGAGTGTAAACTAAATATACCTAACTGAACAGACCAGAATTCAAGTATCAAACCCTGGCTGGAAGCAAGGTGTTAGACATGCATCCCACATTTTCATGTTATTTTTTTTAAATTATGTGTTAGTTCAACACCCATGGGCTTCTGCCTCATGTTTCATATCTAGTGCCTGCATCAGGAAAAGACAGCTGATTAACAGTATTTTCAAATCACTGATTAAGCTTTGGCGTTAAACCTCTTGATCTTGCTGTTGCAACGGCATTTTTTCTTCTTCCTTCTGCAGTTCCAACTCCTTGTGTTTTTGTTCCAACTCCTTGCGTTTTTGTTCCAACTGGCTCTACAGACATTTCAAGAAAGAACAAATAATAATAAAAAAAACAACCAGCTTCATCTTCCCCACTCCATTGCTCACAATGTGTTTCATTATTGGAGTCATAATAAAATAAAAAAGGAAGAATAAAATGTAACTGCAATGTTCATAATACAAAGCCCTTTCATGTATCATCTGACTCAACATTTTCAGAGGTTTCAGACTCGGATGGATAGAAAGGCTTTACCACTAAGAAACAGAAGAAACAGAAACATGAAGTTAGTGTACACACTTCAGATACTGTCTCATAGCTCATGTTCTTTGTCAGCCTATATTCTTTATCTCCTATCATTTGGCTTAAGCTCTTTGATACTTCCTACATTATCTAACACAGACCAATGAATCCATATAGAATCAAATCTATAGAAAAGATTAGTAAGCAATTTCACTAGCATGAATCATCTTGATTATCAACCTTTAAAATTTCCAGTTGGAAATATCTAATGCAAAGTTTATTCTTAGTGAGCCTAACTCCTATTGCATCTAAACTTCAGAAGCTGCATAATCTAAGCATTTCCATTCAACAATACTAGGGCCTTAGAGAATACTGTTTGCTGTAGCATTTATGGTATCATAGAATCATAGAATCTTAGGGGTTGGAAGGGACCTCGAAAGATCATCTAGTCCAACCCCCCCTGCCAGAGCAGGGTCACCTAGAGTACATCACACAGGAATGCATCCAGGAGGGTTTTGAATGTCTCCAGTGAAGGAGACTCCACAACCTCCCTGGGCAGTCTGTTCCAGTGCTCTGTCACTCTTAAAGTAAAAAAATTTTTTCGGATATTCACCTTGAACCTCCTATGCTCCAATTTGAACCCATTACCCCTTGTCCTATCACTGGTCATCACTGAGAAAAGCCTAACTCCATCTCCCTGACACTCACCCCTTACATATTTGTAAACATTGATGAGGTCACCCCTCAGTCTCCTTTTCTCCAAGCTAAAGAGACCCAGCTCCCTCAGCCTTTCCTCATAAGGGAGATGTTCCACTCCCTTAATCATCTTTGTGGCTCTGCACTGGACTCTTTCAAGCAGTTTCCTGTCCTTCTTGAACTGAGGGGCCCAGAACTGGACACAATACTCCAGATGTGGCCTCACCAAGGCAGAATAGAGGGGGAG